GAATTCAATAATAGGGAAACTGCGAGATGTTTTTTAATTAATTATTCATAGAAAAATCGGAGGGAAACAGGCATACATACTGTATATATATGTATGCCAAGTGATTAACTACCAGTGGAAGTCATGTGACCGAATCTTGCTATATATGTACCGCACATTTTCCGTTAAGTTGTGTTTGATTTATTGTTGCGATTATAACTATGGCAGTTATTCCCCTGCTATTTTGCGCTTAAAGTATTACAGTTAACTGATGTAAATTTCTCAATTTCTGGCTTTGTTTTTCTCCAAAATAGTCTTATTGTCTACACCTATATTGAAAAGAAGGCACTGTAATACCGGGAATTAGTGACGGCTTTTAACACGAGACAAGCATTCGATAAACATATTCTCAGGGGAGCCTATGAAAGTATTAAACAAGGAAAGTTTGTATTGATTTTGTTAAACTATGTAATACCTTGTGGTGGTTAAATATGCAATGAAAAAGAATCATTTTGTATATGTTTTGAAACAACACCCTATAGCACAGTAACAATAAGATTTTATTTAAGTTTTTGAGTGTTTTTAAGCTATAACTAAAGGTTATGAGAAGATATTGATTTCTGTAAAAGACAAGGTTGGTTTTTAGAAGTGAGAAAAAATGTCTCTGATGTAACATAATTGTTCCAGGAAATGTGCTAAATGGTACCAATTAGATATCATTTTCTCTAGCTATTTTCCTTGTATTTTGATAAATTATTGAGAGTTTTCTTAACCACAATTCCAATTAGTCAGAGAAGAAAATTGTTGTTTTGTTTGTTTTCTGTTTACCAGGAATAATCTTCATTTCTGCAAGTTTTTGTGTCAGTAATTAATGATTCTGAAATATAAAGATTTTAAATAAATTACCAATTATGGTGCATTTAATCCAGTCTATGACTAGTGGATTTGCAACAGATTTCATTTATGATGTCTGACACATAGTAATGTTGTTGTTGTTTTGTAATGTATGGTGATCAACCTACACTACCACTAGGGCTGCAACAATTCACCAAATGTTCGATTTGATCCGATTTTGATTTCTGGCACCCGATTCGATTATTTTTGATTTGATTCATATCTGATAACTATTTGTCTTCAGTTAACAATTCTGCTCATTTGCACTTGAGTGGCCCTTTACATAGTTTTTTGCATTTCTTTAGATCTCAACTAATTTATAAGTGTTTATGAAAATAAAAAGTGGTCTATTTAAAAACAATTTTAATCAAACAAACTATCACAGTAATAAGAATAGTACACTTACAGATCTGACTTTTTTCTGAAGTTAAACTAGACATTTTAAACACATCTTTTACATCACGCCTTTTATTTAAGGTTTGTTGGATGATTTTTTAGATTTATATTTTCTACTTTGACATTTGAATCCATTCTGATTTGCTTACCAAAAATACAACACTATGCGCTAACTGATTGGATGACTGAGTTAAGTTAACCAATGGCATGTAACGTTATAAAGCAATAGACTTGCCAGACAGGGACTGAAACTCATATTTTTTAAGGGTTTATTTTTGGTTGTGAATTGAATCGAAATTGTTGTAGTTGACATTGGAATTGATTTGGAACTCACAAAACCTTGGATCCCAACTTGAAGGGGGGGGGGGGGGGGGAATACTCAAAATGAGGTATATGTGGGTAACATCATAATGTATTTCATGCTTTCCAGTGTTTTATTGTAATATATCAGATGACTATATTCCAATAAACCACTAGTGAAATTTATAAAATATAATTTTCACTGTAGCCGGACTATATCTGAATGCGGATGAAAAGAAAATCATAACTAAATGGAATAACAGGCAGAAATAAATGCTGTCATACGTAAATTTTGTTTCTTTAGGAAAAGAAAGTCGATGGCATCATACATCATGATAAAAAAATGTAACAAAATTAGAGAATTTTAACAGAACTATATTTCAAAATTGATGTCGTGACGTCATGATGTGATGACGTCACAAAGGAGAATGCGCGACGTTACGCGGCAAAATCAGTAATAAGATACTTGAAATCACTTACAAAGCAGCATGAAATAAAAAGAAAATTTATTTGTTTTACATATAAGATTAAAATATATTTCATTCGTGAACACCAGCTATTATGTTTTCACTCGTGGCTACGCCACTCGTGAAAATATTGCATCTGGTGTTCACTCAGTGAAATTATATTTCAATCTTACATGCAAAACAAACAAATATCCTCTATGTAATTTTTATGTTGAATTATAAGATTATCTTTTTGACTTAGCAGTTAAGAAAGCTGAGTACACAGTGGGCAGCGTGGGCATTTTTAGAAATATATTTGTCAAGTCAAAATCCTTATAATTTTCCTTATCCAGACAATCTTCTGTTTTCCTCTACCTCAGGGGATTTGAAAATTGGATATTGCTTTGTTATAATTGAGATGTTTCAATGCGGTACTGTGAAACATCAGAATAAACAAAACAAAGTTAATATTGGGCAAATGGTAAAGATAACTTTCTCTCTGTTAAGAAGCATTAAATATTTATTAGATTGTGAAATGGAACAATGATAAATGGCTTTAATTTTCTGTTGTTTTCACATCATTCATTTACTTTGTACTTGCTTGAATATCTCTGTTGATATGAGATTTGAATTAAATTTATTGAGAGGAGATCTATTAAAGTAATCAAACAGTTTTTGTCTGTTTGTTTATAGTTGTTAGAATGTTAGAATAAGCACTTTAGAAGTGTTCAACACTTCTGCAACATATTAATATAAAACTGAAGAACATAATCAGAATTTCTCCCCAAACTACCCAAAACAAGTCTTTCTCAATCCCTTCTCATATTCTTTTTATTTCTGATATTAATTCAGCTATTTTGAACATTTCCTATTTCGAGTTTACTATAAATTATATTCTTACAAAAAAAGTAGTAGTAAAATTCTCATTTAAAACTTTTGAAGAACATGTTGGGGGAAAAGGTCAGAAAAAGATCTTAAAATGTTGTCATAGCTAGGACAAGAAAAATCTTGATTGAAACAGTGGACATTAAAGAAAGGACAGAACAGTTCTTGATTGAAACTATGGTCATAGCTCAGGACTAGAAAAATCTTGATTGAAAGAAACAGTGGACATTAAAGCTAGGACACAACAATTCTTGAGTAAAACTGCGGTCATAGCTAGGACAGGAAAATACTTAATTAAAACTGATCAGATGTGAAAATCTCTTGCTTTAAGCTTTCTCACTCACAATATAAGTTGACCATCGGAAAATAATGTAGTTGAGCTTTACTACTTTTTCTCTCTGAAATTCCAATAAAAAGAACTTTCATTCACGTAACTGACAAAAAATATTTGGTTCAAATTAATCCCTCTTGTGAAAGTCTGTCTAATTTACTGCGGGGAGTCCTTGCAATAAATTCAATTTGTCCATTCTAGAATGACGCTGTGTGACAATATAAAAATGACTTCTCTAAATTAGATCATTTTTATCTTCGGGAAAAAAAAACAACAAAACATTTGCTTGCAGCAGTACCCCGGTACATGTACGCAATTTCTGTAAAAAGCCTATATTTAATATACTTTGCTATATTAAATTTATTATTATCATATTAACCTTATTAGTCCCCTACCGGTTTAACCGGAGGGGACTTTAGATTTACCCTCCGTCCGTCTGTCTGTCCGTCTGTCTGTCCGTCAGTCCGTCCGTCCACAAAACTGGATCCCGCGATAACGCAAACGCAAAAAGTACTGAAAATATTTTTATGAAACTTGATATATGGATAGATGGCAGTATGGAGATTATGCACGTCTTTTTTTTTCCTTCCTATGTTGAAAATTCTGGTTGCTATGGCAACAAATAGTCTGAAAATATGGCAAATTTAGCACATAAACTGGATCCAGTGATAACTCAAAAAGTACTGAAAATATTTTTATGAAACTTGAAATATGGGTAGATGGCAGTCTGGAGATTATGCACATCTTTTTCTTTTCTTCCTATGTTGAAAATTCTGGTTGCTATGGCAACAAATAGCCTGAATTTCAAGATTTCTGATTTAAATTTTTCAGCTTTTTCACTATATGTTCTTTATTTCTTAAGGTGTTTACTTCAAACTTTAAATATAAGTTTCTGGTCATCAACCACATCATATGTGACAAGGTTTATAACTCTAGCACAAAAAATATCAGTATTACCTCCCTTGAACTTAGATTTTTTAGGGGAAAAAATGTTGTCTTTTTTAAATAACAATAACTTCTTTATTTCCTAATGTATCTACTTCAAACTTCATATATATGTTTCTTATTATCACTCAACATTTTTGAGAAGGTTAAATACTCTAGCAAGACTATTTCCAGAATTATGTCCCCCTTGAACTTAGATTTTTTTCGAGAAACTGGTAATTTCACTCCAACTTCTTCATTCCTTATAGGATTTACTTTAAAATCTCACATCGTAATAATATGACAAGGTTGTATAAACATAATTTCCTTACTAAGCATGGAAACTTAACACATTACTGTGATATAGACAAACTTATTTTATTATGTTTTGTGGTCGATATTTTCAAATACAGACTTCATCCTCAAATTCATTATAAATGGCAATACACAGGAGTGTATGACAATTAAAGAACTTTTTGAGGGACCGGTAGGGGACTACTGTATTGCCCGCAATACTATCAAATGCTTGTTTACAATATTAACCAAAATATTTGTGGAGCATTTGAAAAAGCATTTGCTTAGGTTTATCAAATTTGTCACAGTAATTTCAGATGTTATGTAGAAAAGTGTTTAATATATTCTAATTCAGATTGGATGTCTGTCCAGCAAAACTAGTATTAGATAGATCTCCCTATTTAAAATGTTAAATGACAAATGAAGACATGTCTTGTTTAACTATAAGATGCAAAAAACTAGAACACATACTGTTGTGAATACTTTTTACAATACTGATATTCTTTTGATATGTTTAACCATATTATATTTTAACCATATTATGTTTTCAGAATCATGAAGGACTTTATGATGAGTGGAAGTCTTTTCCATTTGTTGACAACCCTGATCATACAGGAGAAATGTTTGGTGAATATAATACTAAAATAGGTAAAACTGACAATACTAACAAACTGCATGATAAATACCAACAGCTTTATGAGAAATATAATCAAGAAAATGGTAGACTAATTGGTGATGGGAATAAAAGTGATACTATTAACGGAACTGATGATAAAAAACAAGATGTTGTAGATAGTGATAATGATATAAAACCAGTGGAAGGAGGACTAGAGGATATGACCAGTGAATGGACTGTTGCAGAGAATAAAAAAGAAAGGAAACATAGAAGAAATAGAGAAAATAGAAAATCACATAGGCATCATAAATCAGTGAAGAAAGATTTATCTGAAGAACAGAAGGAATTAAAAAGAGAGAAAAGAATAGATGCAGATACTAATGATGAAACCAATGATGCACTAGATGGAATTGATATTGATAAATTCTACAAGGAACATCCTTATTTTAAGAAAAATGTTGCAACAATTACAGACACTGTGAAGGATAATGTTGATAAACCAAGTACAACTGATACATATGCAACTGGTGATTCATCTGAGGCCAAACAAGTCATCACTGAAGATAGCGATAGTGAAGATGATGCAGATCAGAAAGATGCTGATGATTATGATGAAGATGATGATCATGATGATAAAGTGGCAACCAGTAAAGAGAGTGAATCGCAAGATGAAAGCAGTGAAGCTTACAATGACTATTATGATTACTATGATGAAGATGGTGATAGTAGTTACAGTAGCAGTGAAGAAAGAGCTGAACAAGAAATGCTTAATCAGACTCCCCATGACTGGTTCAAACAGTATGATAGAATGTATGGTGATCAACCTGCACAAACTGAGACCCAGTCTGAAAATAATTCCAAAGATGAGGATGAAAAGAAGGCAAAAGAGGTAAAGGACAAGAAGTATGTTGATAAGGAGAAGATTGTAACAGATAAAAGCAGCATACCAAAGACAGATGTGGAACCAAGCACCAGTCCAAACCCGCCCACACCAAAAAAAGATATCAAGTCTACTGTCACACAACCTGCTTATCCACAATGGAAGGAAAGAGTTGAAACATGGAACTTGATAGAATCTAAGCCAGTTGGTATGTGGTAAAAATTTGGTGTTAGTTCAACAGTATGCTTTGTAACTCTGCTTTGATTAGTTGTTTGCTTTTAAACCCTGGCTTTTTAGTTCGCTGTATAAACTAGTAACATGATTAAAACAAGTAGATAAACATTAAAAGATAGAAAACTAATGAAATATATCGCATTGCGTAGAAATTAAAAAAAAAATGATTATAATTAAAGTGTAGTTTATTTATTCACATTCTGTCATTCAAAAAGTCTTTCATAGTTTTATTTTTGTTATTATAAAAATTATAAAACTGTAATATGATTCTAAATTATGAAGGAAAAAGGTAATTGAAATTCTTTGCAAAATTTTATTTTTTACATATTTTAACACTCAGTTTTGTAGACATGTTTTCTTCCCAGTAAAAGGATGTATCATATTGATTCTTATGAACCTTGCAAAATTGAATTTTCCTGTGCATGTTAGTTTTAAATTTCAGAGTCCTGTAATGAAGATGCAGGCTGTGCTTCAGGACGTATGTGCAAGTTTGGACTGTGTCTCTGTGGACAACCTGACTTCTGTGATGGCCATTACAAACCAGTCTGTGGATCTGATGGTAGACTGTATCCCAGTCATTGTGAGCTTCACAGAACAGCTTGTGTTCTTGGTGTACATATTAGACTGGACCATGACTCTAACTGTGAAGTCAACGGTAAGTTTTATGGCAAACAAATGTAAAACTAATCTATGAATTTGGCACCAGAGTTGTAGTACTTCAAAAATGAGCTAGATAGACAATGTTTGGATTAGACAATTTTTCTGTGAGGCTTTATTGTGCTTACAAAGCAAATTATCAAATCTGTTATTGTAAGCAACAATCTATCGCCCACTAGCAACAATATCTTACCAGAAAGTGAAATTAATGATGTCTGGACAAGATGCATGGTTAATTCCATTACTTTGAGAGTTTTTCTTATTGACTGGCTCTGTAGTTTGCATGTCTTTACATCATTGGAACACAATGATGTTTCCGCATTACTGTAGGCTAAGTCTTAAAATAGACATGTTGATAGTAAACATGCAAACATTTATGTCTCTGACTACATGCTGTGAAGATTGTAAACTTGGCATATATTTTAATTGTTTTTTTTCCAAACAGTCTTTGAAAAACCTTTTTAACCTTATCTTTTTTTTTTGAAAGGGAAAATAATCTTCAATATTTGCTTTTGCTATTGCTTTCTGAAGCCTTGTTTTGGTTATTAAGCTATTTATTTAAGATCTTGCAACTGAAATTGATCAAGTGCCTGCTTCCTTGAACTGTGTAGAACTGGTGTCATATTAGGAAACATGGTCATGACCCCTGTAAAACTTAAACTAAAAATATCTGGGATGAGAGGTTAGACACCTGTACCATTATACCACTTCTTGCTCAACCTCTGTGTGCTTGTTTGCAAAACAGACTGCTGTTCAGTTACTTCATAGAATTCCAGCAAAAATAGGGACTTGTAAGCATTTATCACAAATAAATTACATTGTTACATGATAATCATGTTTTAGGACAAAAAATGAACAATTTTCAATTTCACTATAATTCAGTTTGCAAAGCTGAAATTTACTTAAGCATTACTCAAAATTTTTAAATATTGATCTAAATCATTTAAAATGAGAACTTGAGATGTCAGTGTACAGTAAAATGTTTTGACTTTATAAAAAATACTTAATAAATATACATGTATAATCTTTGATTCTACAGAAATTTTCATAAAATAAATATATCCTGTTATTTGAAATTTTCTGTCATATTTAATGGAATGAAAATGCTGCTTATTGTGCCAAGAACTGACTATACAAACAATTTAATCAAATTTTCCAAGAAGTGCGTAATTTCCCCTTCCTTATTGTCTAGCATAGAGAGAAAATTGCTGTTTCAATAAATTACTAAAAAACCGGCTGTTTCTCTAAATTTGACTTAACTCAAGACAATCGGGAAAATAAACATTTACCATACATGGGTTTTCAGTATTTTGAGATAACAAAATATTGGATAGATGAAATTATATTGGTTCAAAAAGAAAAATGAGCATTTTGTAATATTTTATCAGTTGAAAGCGTAGCTTTAGGTAAGATGTTATTGATTCAGATGGATGAAGTTTGTAAGAATGACGTATGACTTTAATGCATATCTTTAAGAGGGAAGTTATATTGGTATGGGAAGATGTTTTATTGGAAATGTTGTCTTAATTAAAATCGAAGTGATTGTGCGAAATGGCTGTAACTATGTCTATATGTCATATAAGTTACATATGTTTTGCACAAAGCACTCAGATTGTTTGAATATGGTAAGATATGAGACTGTATTGACGTAATATAGCTGGAAACTTAAACAGTCTATTCTGAGATATCATATGTAATTTACATTTATTACCAAAGGTTCAATTGTGTTTGTGCTAGTTAATTGTTTGATAAATAGCTACTTGATTTGTTTTATTTGTTTGTCTGATTTTACGCCTTTTCCCAACAGTATTTCAGTCATATAGGCGGGTAGTTTCCTAACCATCGTTCCTGGAGAGTTACACCAGTACTTAAAAGACTACCTGCCTCCGCGCTAAACTACCAAAGCATCTCCCGGGGATCGAACCCACGCCAGAGAGGTAACTGGATTAGAAGCCATTAGACTCTCATCCCTCTGTCTATCCATTAGTCTGTCCAAACATGTAATAATAACACCTTCATTTACTGTCCTTTGTCTTAGGGTAGGTTTATTGTATATAGACTTCTTCTATTGGCTTAATTTGGTTACATTTGACGTTGACTAGGGTCAAGATTTGACCTTGGACTAAGGTCAAGATTTGACCTTCAATAAGGTCAAGGTCACCTTGGCTTGAAATATACTTTTGTGTACTTACTCATAAAGTCCTTAAATATTGAATGATATTGTATTTAAATTTTGAATGTGGGTATTTTTAATGGGCTATACTTTTTGGTTATTTTTGTTGATGATTCATCTAGATTTTTCAGTAGCACCTTCATTAATTGACTGATATGTGAGATATTTGTACCAAAAAACCTTTATATTTGAAAGTGGAAGAGATGTGCAAATGCAGAGTTTATACAATTAAAGAAATGATATAAGCAAAATAAGTTTCTGGTAATCTGTTTTCAGAGAAGAATATCTTGCATATTTCATGAATTTTAAATTGCTATATCAGAAACAATTTATGTGAACAAATTTGACATGGTGCATACAGGAACATTACTGGTGTTTAGTTTTGTCTCAAATATAGACATTCAGGGGTTAATATAATAGTAGTGCTATCTATGTTTAGAATGTCTTTTAAATGTAATATTGTGTTAAGTCTATAGTGTGAAGAAAAAAAGTGAAAGTTGTGGTAAACCCATTTTGTACTTTTGTATTTTTGTGATTCTCATACAGCAGGATCTACTCTTGAATTATCTGTTCAAAAATGTTAAAAGGTAGACTTCCGAGAAACATTTGTAGAACAGTTTAAACTAAATTATATATGTATGAAGTAAATGTCATCCAGCACCTCTGTTTGGTATTAACAGGGAGATGTTAGATTTTTGCTTTTAGACTGTGTTTTACTTTAGCTGAATTCATAGACTGGTTCTTTGGTTGTCTGGAAGTCGTCACTGTCTGCTTTTATTCAGCTGATAAAACATACCATTGTATAGAAATATCAGACAAATTTTACTCCCATGGGGCTGTCATAAAGTAACATCTAGATTTATCTTCTTATGTACATCTTAGGCATATAATAGTTCGGTTCAGCAGGGACTATTTTCTTTAAATTTTCTTGATTTTGATTGAAATGTTTTAAGGCTGAATCTCTTCCTGATTTATTTGCAGAATTTTTCAAATTATAATAAAAGACAACAGACTAATTTGCCCTTTTCTTCGAAGTATGCTTTGGTTTTAGCAATGGGCTTTTCTATGCCATATAATTTAATTATTCGAATTCATTAACGACAGAGTAACGGCCCTTGATTTGAGGAGAATGTTTTTCACTTGCTGAAGTGAGGTGCTCTTACATGTGATTAAGATAAGCTTCAAAATGGTATATAATCGAGCAGTTTGGAACAAAATTTCATAATTTGGAACAAAATGAACCACGCTTTTAATATTTCAATTGTATTCTAAACTCAATATAATACTTGAAGCTTACAAATTCATGTTTGCAAGTGAGAAGTGTACTGAACAGGGGCGAAAATTATATCCTTTATTATATTAAATGCAAAAGATATATTTTTGTGTTTGAAAATATTTGCCCTATATGTTAGTAGAAATACAATGAATTTTACAAAGGGACAGTTTCTTTGATGAGAAATTATGCTAGATATATGATTTTCTTATGAAATGTAATATTCTGAATATTAGTTATATGATTTTCTTATGAAAGGTAATATTCTGAATATTCTGCAAAAACCAAATATTCTTAACAAACTGTGACAAAATATTTTCTATAGATCTGTTTTGGTCAACATTGTATAATGAGATACATGTAACTGTTTAAGTTAAATAAAATTTTCTTCTTTTTTTTCTTCTCCCTTAACTGAGCTACTTTTGAGCTCATAAATTGTCACTCTACTATTAGTTTTATGATTTTCTTATATTAAATACCAAGAAAGATTTTCATTAGTCTTGTATTTTTCTTATCATTGATACATTCCATAAGAGATGAAAGAGATTTGTACTTCAATACAAAATACAAAGAAATTGTTTCTTTCATCTTGGATGTTTGTTGGTGGTTTAATTGATTTTTCCTTCCAGTAGAAAAACAGATCTTATTTTTGCTATGAAGTTTTTTTATGGTAGGTCAAGACTTGTTAATTTTCCTTTAACATTAATATAGTTGGTACACTGAAGTCATTTGGGTTAATTTAAGAAAAGGGTTGGTTGGTATAATTGCAATATTTTTCTTGTGAGACATTTGATACTGAAAATAATTTTGTCAAACTAGATTAGTCTGTCACCAGTCTGAGATTTCCATTCTTCAATTATTCTTTGTTTTTCTTATCCATTAGTTCCTGTTCTTCCATTATTTTACATTATTCTGTTTCTCTTCATTTATAACTTTATGATTTAATTTCTTCTATCTCTATATGTATACTTTTTGACAACCTTTGAACCAGTACTTTCTGACTGACATTGACTATTTATAAAACATTAAGTATCCAGGTGTAACTTGATTTATCAAGTCCCATATAAAAACTAGATGCCCAATGGCAACATGTCAAACCCGCTGTCACATCTGATCTTGACCTTGAACTTTGACCTAGTCAAACAGTTCTTGCAGGCGACACGCCGTCTTATGATGTTGAACATTTGTGCCAGGTTATTTTGAATTCCACCTGCGAGTGAAAGAGTTATGGTGCGGACATGCTGTTGGAGACCACTTTTTTGCATTTGACCTTAAAGTGTAACCTTGACCTTTGACCTAGCCACATTGTTCTTGTGTGCCACACACTGTCTCATTATTGTGAACATTTATTATGAATTATGAATTTATTGTGAATTATTGGAAATTCTGCCTACTAATGACAGAGTAACGCACCTGGAGGGATTACACGCCTGTACTTACACCAAACTGACATTGTGACAACTATGTCGAGCTCTGTGCAAGCAGACTCAACAAAAATTGTAATGATATGATGTAAGTTGTGAATGGAGATAACAGTGAAATTGTTTTAGAA